CGGCGTACGTTGACCTGTCGTTCACGGCGCGCAGTGCAATAGTAAGCGGTCGAGATTGTCGTCGCGCGCTTATAAGAGAATGCCGCTCTAACCTTGAGCTCCGACAATTCGGTAAAAACGAATCGGACCATGCGAAAAAAAAATAACTCTATACACCTAACATTGACCATGAGGAAAAATTGCTGAAATTCACTCGATTTACCAGTAAATGCCTCTGATACTTTGGCATAAACTGGTAATCTCGAGATGCTCAAAGCCTTATTTTTATCGACATTCCACTATCATGTTAATGGCCGGGCATTTGCTCCTGGGTAAATAAGGAGATCCAGCGAATACAATTCAGTCATGCACGAGAAAAAGGAAGCAGCTAATCGAGTTTTCTGAAATTTCGGCAGAGAGCATCTTTCGAGCACAAACAGCATTAACTAAAAATTCCTCCTAAACCGCTTACAAACCTAAATCCAGCACAACTTCTTTCGCAACACTAATCAAAAATTCAACGTACTCGCCGAGTATAACGCTTGCGTCACACTTGATACCAGAACATGAGCACAATAACAACAGCAAATCAGCTTCAACTATCGGCGGAGGTTCGAACTGTTTGGCCGCATCCACTCGCGGCCTCTCGAGACGCAGCAAAAACCGATCATCACTTTCAAGGTTGCAGGGGCACAACGACGACATCCAACGATTCTCAAAGGAAATAAGCAATATCCCGTGCATGAAATTTCCACACAAATTGAGTGATCGGGTTAAAAAGGAACATAAAGATGAATGTTTTGCGCATGTGTCATCTCGAATCTGTGAATAAATCACAGACATAACGAGTTCAGGAGAAATTGATGAAGTGATTAGGACATGTCACACCAGGGTTCCGCTTTATAGCTGAATTATCCATCATATCACAAAACGCTAATGTAGGAGCACCGCAAATTGATGGGAAGCTCGCAGGCATAAATGAGCATCGAGCTGAGCTGTATTCAGCATTAGAATAATTAGTCGACAGCTGAATGCAGCAGGCATCGTGAATGAGGAATTAGTTTATTGCATTACCGAGAATGCTCTGCATCTTCCCGCAGATCCTAAAGTTCATTGGTTCATCATGAGAGCCATTACATCTTCTGGTGAAAATTACAGTTCATTGCTTTACCAAAAATGCACAGCATCTCCGAACAGAAATTACAGTTCATTGCGATGCCTAGAATGCACTGCATATTCTTGCAGAAATTACAAGTCATTGTGTCAACAAGAGTGCGCAGCATCTTCGTGCAGAAATAAGTTTTTTTTACCAACAATAACGATCGAAGTTTCGGTACATCTTTCAGAATCCCCTGAACCTGACTAAAGAGATGCACGTTGCTTAATACAAACCACAAACATGGCAAGTAAAAGCTCACTTGACGAATACCCGAACAGCCTGGACTGGACTCCGGGCTGGGCCCGGGTCATATTTACAAGTAAGGAATCTCGGCGAGATGAAGCAAGAATGTCCAGCGAAATCGAGCCCACGGCGGAACTCAGATGCACGTAAAAATAGCCTTCAGTTCTGAATACCAACCACGAGAAGAGAGCAGCGCAGAAATCATACAACGTTAAACAATTTAAAAGTTATTGTAGTGGATAAGTACAGAAAAATGACCTATATATTAGGACGTTGGGATGAGATCAGAGGATTATATAAGCGAGTCTGCAGCTGAGAAGAATATTAGGTCAAGATCGATAAATGAGTGCACAACTGCACACAAAAAAATTCTCATTTGGAGTAAAAGTTGTCATATTCGTCATTAGACGAATATGACGTACCTCAATTATGTACTCGGTTGCAGCGCAGGGATCTCCTATTTTGAAAGAGCGGTTACACGCCCGCCTGCCTCCTGCATGATACGTGCTGCTCAATTTGTGCACATAAATACGTAAGTACGTGGCACTAGATTTGTAAGGATAGATACGTCAAGCACGTGGCACTAGAATTATGAGGTACATACGTTAGGTACGAGCTACTCAATAGATTCCGATAAGTTTCACTAAAGACGGAGGAATAATTTTTTTCGACCAGTGGCTGCAGGGTTGTGCCAAACATACTCCCTTGCTCGTGGGTCGGATAAACGATTACATCGACGCGGTTATCAACAGACGGCGACGAGTCACCAGAGCGAGGCACAGCAGGAGATAAGAACTAATAATAACATCCGCCTTTAAAGCGGTGACCCTGTAACAAAGATTTGATCCTCCAAGTCAGTTTTGAACAACGTCACGCCTTTTTGACGTGACATGGAATATCTAACAAAATTCTACGTTGTTCAACATACGCTTGAATTTATCAATATCTCCGAGTTTTAAGATTACCGCAGTTGACACATGAGGATGACGCACGAGTTTAGGCCATGTGTATCCTAACATTTTAAGTTTATATAATTTTTTAGACAAATTTGTTTATGCAAAGTAACTAAATAAATATGAATTCGAGCGTCTCATTATTAACAAATTTTTTTATGCAAGGCCTATAACAAATATGCATTAGAGCGTCTCATTATAAAAAAGCACCGGCCGTTATGCGCTCAATTAAATTAAGATGTCTTGTACCCTGCACCAAATCCTCATAACATGTGCCATATGTGCTGTGCCCGAATACTCGTGCCGCACATGCCCATATCCGTATGCCGTATGATCAAACACATGTAATACGCGTCATGTTCCCGTACATCGCAAGAGTTTAATTAAATCTGAGAGAAAAATGCGTTCAACATACGAGGCAAAAGTGCTGCAGGTCAGCGCGACGGCGGCCTGCAGAGACAGCGCAGCCTGCTAGCCTGCTCTCCCGGGCTGCTGTGGATGTTGAGGTGAGGTGGATATTGGGCTGCTGTGGATGTTGGGCTGCTGTGGATGTTGGGCTGCTGTGGATGTTGGGCTGAGGTGGATGTTGGGCTGAGGTGGATGTTGGGCTGAGGTGGATGTTGAGCATAAATGGCTGATGAGTATTGCAAGCTGACCAGTGTGCAGACCGAACGCATTTCCTTCTGAATAAAACGCATAGGAATACTACTAGCGCAAAACTGCCAATAATATACCCGGCCGAGTGTGGACACAACTGATATAATCCAATTCTGGTTATTCCTTGCAAAAAAAACTGGCTAAACAGCGTAACACGGTGGCGCAGTACCGTATACTTACGGAGGCTGCGGTCACCTTGCACACGGCCGTTTGCATAACACGGCACGGTAAAAAAACTCGCATTTCACCTCAGGACGGGTGTTGGGCTGAGTTAAAAAAAACGTTACAACATCGCTGACATGAGACCTGCCAGAGACTGGGGAGATGTTGGAGGCTTCGAACGTTACAACATCGCTGACATGAGACCTGCCAGAGACTGGGGAGATGTTGGAGGCTTTCGAACGTTACAACATCGCTGACATGAGACCTGCCAGAGACTGTGGAGATGTTGGAGGCTTTCGAACGTTACAACATCGCAGAAATGAGTCTTGCCAGCGACTGGGGAGATGTTGGAGGCTTTTGAACGTACGTCAACATCGCGAGGAACGGGACATTGGCTTTTCAAATAAGGCTGGTGAAGCTGGAAAACTGAGCATTAATTGCCTCGATATGTACCGCAACAGGCACACAGATGACATAAATGGAGTGCACACGTTGGTGATGACACTATCAGTTACACTCTAATTGTGATTCACGAACATAATAGTGAGCTACCAGTATAATGATTGAGCAGATTAACAGACTTCAAGGGCTTCAAACATAATTATTTCGAGAAATCAAACATTGAGATGAAGCCATGAGAGGACTGTACAAGATCTTACGACAACTTGCTTCCGTGTAAGATTGTACAAACACATGACGTGATTGGCGCCATTCGACAATATTTGGATTTGACGTTAGATAAGTTGAGAATGCAAGCGATACTGATGAACATAAAGCATGAGCAAACACTTGTATAGGATGCTGGATGAACATAACGGCGCAGGCACACCTAAAAAACGAATACGTAGAATATCGCAACTCGGCAAGTACCGTAATTAAAATACGTGATGGTGCACCTCAAAAACGAATACCGTACATGGAATATCGCAACTCGGCAAATGGTTTTTATACGTGACTGGACTGCAATGTACAATTCTAAAATTTAATCCGAAATTACCCGCAATACCAGCAATGATGCATGAAATTAATGTTACTACGTGGCAAACTAAAACAAAAAATGTAAAACATGAACATCGGACTTTATGCACAAAAAAATACATCACGAGCGTCGCAAGCAGCGAAAAAAACGTCAAGCATCGGCTGAGCTCACATCGCTTTTTTTAGGAAGGAATATCATCACAACAAGCGAGATAAGTTGGTCCCAGTGAAGTTTCGCGGAATCGCAGCTTTGCAGCTCCGAACAATATTATGCGTCGACAACCGTCGTACACGCCATAATCGCAGCAAACAATACATTACAGCACCTCGGAAAAAACACAAGTTCAGCAAAGGCCTTTGCTTCAGTAGCAAGCAACAAAGAGAAGTTATCTTTTTTCATCTCCCACACCTAAATCTTCTTCCACTCTCGGGATCACTAGCAAGGCTTTAGAATACGTACAGGGATGATCTTACCTGGTCATTGCCTTAACTTTTGCTATTTTCAGCATGGTTTCAGAATGCTTAATTGAATACAACTTTGAGCATGAAAAATAATAAAAAAAATTCATCAGTAACTTCTCAGAAGTAAAAATATATGGCAACCAACTTTCCAGGCATTCCATGCATGCTCTCCCCAAGCATGCTTACAATGAAATAACTGCAAGAATTTGCCACCTATTTGTTTGCGTGCACATACAGGAGATAGAAGTACAAGTAAATGCAAGTATCATCAACAGCTTTAACTTGGGGTATACTCTATTTTCATAGATATAATACTTAATACAGCAATAGAATTTATAAGTCAATGATAATTGTGACTGGTGATAAGGAAAGATATATTCAAAAGCAAAATGAAAGTAAACACTCACCACCTGGAGCAATCATTGGCAGCAGGTTGATGCTATCAGCATCCCTGTAACAACAAAATGTGGATCAATAAAGTAAATACAGAATAGTCAAGCAATAACATCATATATTTATTGAACAAACATCTCATCTTATCAGAAATAATGCACTTTCATTGTGTATTATTATTACGCGTATCAGACATGCAGTAATCACCACAAGTTATTTCAAACCAAGAAAGCATGATACAAATCAAGACCAGCTACTCAGTCTTGGCTCCACATACAAACTAGGCTATTTATTTTACAGTCCTAAGTTATACCTGCATTCCTAACTTATCTTTTTAAGAACAAAATATAAATATAGAATGCAGGTGGATGAAAATAGACTCCTGATCAATGAAAAATCTTAGTCCTGTTCCTCGCGACTCCTAACACGTGACAAATTTACACCACAGGGCAAAGGCTTAATTTGTCAATGGTGATTTAGTGCTGTTTTTGTATTCTATATCACTTAGACTTAGTCTCTTGGTGGTTGATGACATAACTCAAGGGGTTAAAAAATTTATGAGGATTGAAAAGGTCAATTGGGAAAACTAACCAGAATCAATTATATAGATTTATCAAGACCTTGGATTTGAACCAGTAATTGGAATGGAAGTTTAGAATTTAATCAAATTTTAAATTAATTATCAAAGGAAACAAATTGAAAATTTGAGTATGAATGTTTTAAATTAAATTATAAATAAAGAAGGGAATAATTGCTTACAATGAAATAACTGCAAGAATTTGCCACACATTTGTTTGCGTGCACATACAGAAGATAGAAGCAAATGCAAGTATCACATGAAGGAGTCAATAGTAAAAAAAGTTTTTGATTTTGATGGTCTGTATCTCAGAACAATTATGGTCTCTCCTATATAAAATATCCAGGTATTAATGTTTCTAAGAAAACACAAATAATAAATATTTCAATGTTTTTATATTTCAAAAGCTCAATTGCTTCTGCATTTGAAGGCCATTCTTATCTTTTTCTTCAGACTTTCCCCAAGCATGATACATTTTTAATTTGATCATACCTAGCCTGGATGATGATGTGTCATATGTACTCATTCAAAGGATAAATTCCTTCAGCATGAAAGCCTGCAAAATTTTTTTCTTAAGGAAGGCATATCAACACAGTGACACACAGAGGTTAGCATATTGACTAATCCCTCCTTGCTAAGTCACGTGGCTCATGACCACCACTGAATTCTGTGAACTTGTGAAGTCCAACTATTTTTTGACATGATAAAATTTCAAAGGAAGAAAGCATGCCATGTCTGAGAGTTAAATGATATCTGTACAGTGGGGTGGCAGTTTCTGGATTGTCATGTTATTTTCTGCTGCTAATTTGACAAATCAACAATTGAAAGTGATGTATGACTTTGCATTTTACCAGTCAAATAAATCAATAATGTATTTGGCTGCATTTTCAGGATGAGATGCTGCCTCCCCTCATCTATTTCCAAGAACATTGCAATGTTAAGAATCGGCAACAGGCCTACAGCCTAGTAGGGTAAACGCGGTATATTCCGTCACATTAAGGACGCATCGAGAAATGAAAAACTATAAAAAAATAACCGTATGCATTACTCAAGTTCTGTTTGCTTTATGTGACTCTCAAAACACCGCACTACGCGTCAGCAAGGACGAAACGTCACAAAATGTTGCCATATTTATTTAAAAGCCTTTAGAATGCAAACCTACCAAATCCCTATATTCTGTCACTGTGTGTGGCTATATTCAGCACGTGGTGATGCGTATTCCGTCCACGCTTCAAATTCTACTGATACGTAATGCCGTCATCCACGTGTTTGAATTCAGTTCACTGTGTGAGCTGTATTGGAATACAACATGGCTTTGAATTAGAACACTAATGAATATTGAACACTACTTAATTACGCTCTTAATTAACAACTATTAAGCTTTTAATTAAGCAAATTTTAATTTTTGTACACAGCTTGGAACGATTTGCGTGTGTCCAATTCAAGTTGTGACGGAATTAGTTTTCATGTGTCTAAATCCATTTCTCAACTTAATCATCTATTAATTTATTTACCACTTGAAATCATCTGCCTATATAAGGACCCTAAAATTCATGCCAAAAGGTTCTACTGTGGTGACCGTCACGCCAGTACGGTCAGCAGCCATCTCCGCAGACGTAGGGGACGGCCCCGGCCGTCGGCCGGCTGGGTCAATAATGACGGACTCGGGGAACTTCGCGACTTCCATACCACTACGACTCCGATATAATAGTCAGAAATTTACGAGTAACGACCGTTCCTTGGTTTATTTGTACGGTAAACATTTGTTGCTACGACTGTGACTTAGCCGTCAGGCAAAGCTGGAGGTCAAGAGACGGCCAACGATTACAACGCCGGCAATCAGAAGATAAAAATTTTCGAGCACTGAGCAACAATTATACATCGGAACGGTCATCAACACGATAGGCTCAGTTGTCGTCAGTAGCGATACGGTCACGATCACCAATAGCAGAACCACGGCAGTGAGCTTGGAGTAACATCATCGACGAGGAAGACTTCACCACTATTCAGGGCTTATACTTTCAAAAAAAGTTATGATATCGTAGGTTCATCAGCCAATCATTGACGGCCTTTCAAGCCAAATCCACCAATGATTGAGAAGAAAATGGAGCGTAATTACTTACGTTCATTTAGCGAGTTTTGAAAGTATGGCCCCAGAAGTACGGTCGCTATACAACAATCTACGGCCAGACTGACCGTGAGACATCAATATCAGCGAGACGCTACGGCTATAGAGAAAGAACGACCGCGGGCAGCGATGATGCGCGGCTATACGGCTGCAAACGGCCGCTGGATATATAGCCACAAACGTGCGCATAAAGTACGGTCGTTTACGACAGTTGTACTACTCAATGGAACTGCAACGGATCAGCGTTTCTGGTAAATAGGGAGATTTTAATGACATGAACTGATAGATTTTGATTTTTTTTGTGTTCGGATTGCCCCGTTTCTGTACCAGAGATTTTTTTTACGTAACATGTGAACTTGAATTTCCCAATTTAATATGAAGTGGACCAGTTCATACGAGAACTTGTTTACGCGAATACTCTGAGTAAATCCTTAGACGCTACGGTCGCAACCAGACTAAAAGAAATTACCGATCGATGAATAATAAAATTAAAACAATGAAACCAAATCTCCGATTGTGAATTTTTACCATGACATTCTGGATTGTCATGTTATTTTCTGCTGCTAATTTGACAAATCAACAATTGAAAGTGATGTATGACTTTGCATTTTACCAGTCAAATAAGTTGATAATGTATTTGGCTGCATTTTCAGGATGAGATGCTGCCTCCCCTCATCTATTTCCAAGAACATTGCAATGTTAAGAATCGGCAACAGGCCTATGGCCTAGTAGACTCTGAAACTGCTACATTATATTATAATGATGGTAACAGGTAGGAATGAAATGGAATTGGGTGCGTGCTGACCTCCAGTCATGACTCATGACCCAGGGTGCAGGAAGTGGGCGAATATCACAACTTATTTCACAAGATCTTTGGTGATGCATCTGCAGCAAAATTTATGCCTTCAGAAGATCTTGCTGAACATTTGAATTAAAATTATTGCATTTCAGATATTCACCGCATACAGTAAGGTTTCCGGTACGTTGGATGGATCAGAATTCAGATTTCAGAATGCAGTGAAGCTTGTCCGGAAATCAGTTGCAATGAGTGTAAGTGTTGCAGTGTGTGGAGAGTACTAAGTAAGGAATATACCGTAAAATGGGGTAACTTAGACCACTTTTTTTATAAATGATGCCATTTTTTTACTAGCTAAATTAAACTTGAATTGAAACATGCAAAATACATCAAAACCTGGAGTTATTTAACCAAAAAAAAAAAAAATAAAAAAATTGGAGGGGGAAACTCTGACAGGCTTTAAATAATAGCTTTTTTTTTTGTGGGTCACATTTTTAATTTTTTAACCTATTAGATATGCAAACTTTTTAAATCTTTCTATTGTGTTATGTAGCCCTAGCCTCAGTATTAGGCCTTTAATGCCCATTGCCCAAATTTTTCTATGTCAAATAGTTTTTGAGTTGTGGGGGTTTTTGTTAAAAAAACGAAAAGTGGTCTAAGTTACCCCACCGGTGACCGGTCTAAGTTACCCCATTTTTTTTATGGTACTATCAAAGTTATTAACAGCATTTTCTTATTAAAAATTATTCAGCAACGCATCTTGAAAATGGCTGGCAACATTTTGGGCTGAAAATCTATATCTTGGCAACGCAGCTTGCAAACTCTGCATCCTGAGTCATGACCTTTAAATTGGTCATACACGCTGCATAAAAGCACATTTACTAGCATCAAAAAAAATTAAAAGTTCATGTCACAGTTTACACTTGTATCAGTTATATTTTAACAAATAACAAAAAGTTGCATGTATGCCTCATACTTGAGATTACCTGCCTTCATCAGTTCATCCATAGACCTCGTAAAAGATATTAGCTAGGCTATGTAATTAGACAGAGCTCATTACCCAAACCAAACAAGGTGTTAACTATTTTCTAACCCTTCTACTTTCTTTGCATAGGTTTTTCTAGAAATTTTGCCAAGAATTCGTTATTCGCAGTACAGGGTTGAAACAAACACTGAAATTACTAGAAATAGTTGCTCTGACAGATTCTTTCGCCAAATTAATAACAGTGCATTTAGTACGCACCCCATTGGCTGGTCCTTTCTTAGTTCTCACCCCATGAACTGAAGACTGCGATTCTGTCTTACCCCATTTCATTTGGCTATACTTGTTTTCTTTGCAAATATCGATTTACTTAAATTCAGTTAGACAACACACCAAAATGAACGATTACACGAATACAATGCACACAACAACTTTTCCCTTAACGTTAGAGTGCAGTGATATTGGACATGGATTCAACGTAGTATTAGAAAAATATAAATTACTTTAATTGGCGACGGCGGGAGCAGACGACACCCACACCGCTGGGTAGGGCCGGTCACCACACTGAAAAGTCGAAATCAGAAATGAGGGCAGATCACGATATGTAATCGAACACTGAAAGCCTTAAATAAAACGTTGCTAATATGTGCTGAATTACATTCCATTGCGTATAACTGAACAGAAACCCTCGATCAATCACTTTTGACCTGCAGTACGCTTTTCTGCACGCATGTTCAAAGAAGAATCCACTCGAAATCGAATAACGTTTCATGGTAGTAGTAGGCTAACTTGGTTGCATGACATACATAATATTTCTATTTGAGAACTTGGAAATTTATAATGCCATTAGCTTCAATTAAATATTATTTAAGAATTTACCTATAAACTGCCATTTTTCTGCGTCTTAAGTGGTATTGTGTTATTAAGCGAATTTTCTTGTCGACTCCTCTCATTATACATGATTTTAAAATAACGAAAATTCACAAAAAGGCATTTATAATTGGTAGTTTAAGTTCATTAGGATTATTTTAAAATGCACCAAATATGGTTTACTTCTAATATACTTTTTATTTGACAAACAAATTTATTTGCATGAAAATTTATATATATATATATACTGGAAAATGTTTCCCTCTACTTCTCAGTTGAATCGACGCCATCCTTGGAACGGGTCTGCAAAAATTTTCAGGCGAGTATTCCAATTATTATAAACATTTACGTAGATGACGGGAAATAAAACTTCTTAATTTGATATAAAAAATGCAAACGTAGCATTATTTGTTGTATAATAGGTAATTAAATGAAGTTAATAGTTCTAACTAGTCGTCAGGTAGTCGATACCTTTTGTTTCAATTTTTCGGCGTTGTGGCTGCTATTGGATGTTAAATAATTAGCAACGAATACTCTTTTCTTTTGAGCTAACGTAATCTCTTGATTGATTTATTTACTTTCACTCGATATTTAAAGTGGCTTTCAAACTGAGGTGTTTTTATGCCATTTCGACTACCCAGGCTACTGGTGCAACTGACGGACACGAATATCCCAAACATTCGAGCAAAATGCCTCCTCGCCCACCATCTAGAGCCACCCCACGTCTGAAATCTTTTATTAAAAATCATAAAACTGCCCCTTTATCAGGTCAAAAAATCCTGTTGCGTACAAACGATGCGATTAAGGATAAATTTGCATCGTTCTCATCAGCAGCCATCGCCAAAAACGAAATTATGGAGTTAACTGGAAAAGACCCTGGACAAGAAGATAGCGAACTCAGCCAGCAAATCAAGACAATAGACCTAGTAAAACGGACCGATAAGCTGAGCACTCAAAGTTTGATCGTGAATGATGAGAACAGGGAACCGACATGCCAAAATAAGGTGCCAATTATGTTGAATCAAAGCTTTCCCGATCTTCCATCATCATCGACACCCATTTTGAAAAATAGAGAAGAAGATGAGGGTAAGTTACCGACAGTTTTGGGATGCAATTCTACGGAAAAGTCTAAAGCATTATCGCCTCATCTCGAAAGCTCTGATTTGGACAGCATTTTCGCGTCGCCGGTACTAAGAGAAGTGGCTGGTTTACTTCCTCAGACGAAAGGCTCGTCCAGCCGTTCAATGGTAACGATCCCATGTGATGTCCTGCAAATGTTATCATGTGATTTACTGGCCGAGTGTGACCAGGACCGTAACTCTATGGATCCCTTTATTGGGGAGGCGTTCTTCAAGAGCTGTGCAGGTAAACAATGCAAGACAGTCTCTGAATGCAGTGCCCGCACAGGGTCTAATCCCATGGAAAAGGATGACGTACTCGTTTACTTGAATGAAAATCCCTGCGTTGAGAGTACTGTTGAAGCTGATAATTCTGCATCAACTTCTCATTTTCTGAAATCCCTCAACAACACTTCAAAAAATCGAAGATTCGAACAAAGTTTCGATGCCGTTGGTCCTGGCGGTCGCGAAGAATGTGTTGCAAATGCAACGCGAGAAATGCCTCAGCCGAGTCACGCCTTTGCCTCAACTTTAGATCGTCATGATCGACGTCACGAGATACTATCGCAAAAACAGGATCAAGATCACAAGCTACTCCCTCGAAAAGAAAATAAAGATCATAAACTACTCCCGCGAGAACAGGATGAAGATCATGAGTTAACTCCGCAAAAAGAAAATAAACATCAGAAGCTAATCCTGCACAAACGTGAGCAAGATTATAAACTAGCGACGCAAAAAAATGAACAAGATCTCAAGCTAGTCCTGCAAAAACAGGATAATGAACAATATGTCATTAACCAGGTACAAGATAACAATCTTATTCATGAAAATCTCGACCAAGATCATGAGTCACCCTCACGTAAACAAGATCAAGATCAGAAGTCAACCCCACATAAACAAGTTCAAGATAACAAGTTTAACAAGCAAAAATATACCAAGAAACCCCCACAGAAATCAGCTAACAATCAACACAGTGCCGTAACTCAAAAAAATATAAATATATATTTCGCGGTGCACAAAAATAAGTCAATTAAACGTAAAAGTGATCAGGATGATAATCAAGTCACAAATCCTTCACCAAAATGTGCTCGCGAGGAGAAACAACAATTTTCAAGCGCGAATGAAAGCAAAGCTGCCCCGACCGAAGCCACAGTTTGCAATAAGAAAAAGAATACAAAGCGACAAGCAAAGGGTATCGCAAAAAGCTTGAAAAGTCATCTTAACAATACGGAGCAGGAAACTAATCCTCTAGATCCAAACATCTCGTGCCCGTCGACCATCTCTACTGAACATGGAGAAGAGTCTCTACACAAAGAAACCACCACAGCAAAAACCAGCTCCACCTCGTCTGTATTTAATGATCAACCCGCATCTAATAATCGTCCAGCTGCTGCTAACGCACTTAATCTGAATTTGCCCGAGACTACGTCGAAGAAAAGAAAACGTAAACCAAAAACGGATTGCAAGGCAGACCGAGCCTCTGACCACTCCGAAGATTTGATGCGAAGTATTTCTTCAGGAGCTCATGCCATCAGTCAGATGATAATTGGGGAATCAAGCAATCTGTTCAGTGGTACAAAGAAGAAACGTAATATTCCTCGGAAGAACTACTGTGAACTTCAAGTTTCAGTTGAAATGAGCTCGGAAGACCATCAGCCAGCCTCACCTCAATCTGCAGCATCTCAACAGGCAGCATCTCAACACGCAAAACCACCATCTGCAGCACCACGCCCAATGCCAACTGTTGCTGCAGAACTTCACCCTATAGAACTTCACTCTACGCCACCTCGTCCTGCAGCTCCTCGCCTTGCAGCACCTCGCCTTGCAGCACCTCACCTTGCAACACCTCGTCCTGCAGCAGCTCACCCTGCAGCACCTCAACCTGCAGCACCTCACCTTGCAACACCTCGTCCTGCAGCAGCTCACCCTGCAGCACCTCAACCTACAGCACCTCACCTTGCAAAACCTCACCCTTCAGCACCTCAACCTGCAGCACCTCTGCTAGCAGCAGCTCAACCTGCAGCACCTCACCCTTCAGCACCTCTGCTAGCAGCACCTCAACCTGCAGCATCTCGACCTACGCCACGTCGCAAGAAGGATCCCGTATGTTCATCATCTGGTAGGAGTGGGACCGTCGCTGCTAATCCCAAAAGAGCCAGAAATAACAAGTCTGCAGTTGCTGCTAAGCTATCGTCTGAAAAGAAGTCTACATCTATCAGGTCTAACCCACCGACCGATATTTCGGAAAATCATCAAGGACTTGGTTCTGGAGAGACTGCTGATGGCGGGTTAAGAGTTGTTGCTGATACTCCACAAGAAATCTCTCGTAAAGAGCAAGAAGTTGAAAATCTCGACGAAGAATATCATTGTTCACAAGGTGTCGGTCTTAAGTCAGAACAAACGATCCGAATTGACATTGACAAGCCTTCGGAAAACGAAAATTTGAGAATTGGTACCAAATCGAATAGTGTAACCAAATCGAGTGTACGAAACAAAACATTGAAGAAAACTTTCGCGTTTCAAAATGATCACAAATCCAAAACTGAACTCTTTCCTGCACCGATATCAAATCCTTCATCAAATGGAGTTGTGGATTTCGGAAACGATGCAGATCAAACTCCTGTCTCTCATAATGACTCAAAATTTTTGCACAATCGAGGTATCGAAAAAATTTCCTCGAGTGATTCGAGTTTCTTAAAAGAAGAATCTTGTTTCACGAAGAAGTACCAGAGAAAAATGGCAAGAGGAGAAAAAGATAATGTCAATGAATCATGTGCATCGTCAACAGATTTTAAAACTCTTTTAGGAAAACATTTCGGCTCTTCTGATGCCACATCTTCATTTGGGGGTCATTTACCTTGCGAAGGTGCTACGAAATTTAGCGGTGCCGCAGAGCTATCGGACAGTTTTGGTCCAATTGTCGCTTCAACTTCTTCACAAAGATCGTCACTGAATAGTCCGAAGCCCTTGAAGAGAATGACTATTAGCGAAAATGGCACCAACGTTGTGCGCGTGAGTAAGGACAATCCATTTTGCGCTTCAAAAATATTTAATTTACCCAATAAACCAGTTCCAGTTGGGGTGGATTCTCTTTTTAAGGTTTCACCGCAGAGCGCAAATTGTTCTCCACCTCACTATCGCACGAGTCGCCAAGACAATGAAGATGTTTACGCTTTTGCCTCCTTGCCTGCAAATTGGCCCAAGTCGAATCGTCCTCTGTCAGCGGAGACTTCATTTGAACCGAAATCGATCCCCAGTTTGTCAGTCGAGTCTCTTCCGTTGGCGAAAATAAG